GTGACTATGGGGAAAATCCACACTGTTTTTTGCAGGCAAGGAGGTAATCAATTTTATTCTCTTCTGGAGATAATATAAGGTTGCAAGGAAATTTAACAGCTCTTCTGCTCCATCATCTTTATAAGAACGTCTCTCTTTTAACGAGACTGTTAACAATTCTCCTCTTTTAACAAGACTGTTAACAAGTCTTTTAACAAGACTGGAGAAAGCCAAGTTCCTGAGGCTCTAGGTACAGGCCACAGAGGAGACACTTACTCTGTCACAATAGTACTTCTTTTCTCCTTCCCTCATACTTAATTTTAAAATGTTCAGAAAGTATATCACCAGGAAACATTTCAATTAAAATTTTATAAGTAGACCATTTAACCTAATCATGAATTGGAAAATTTTATAGTTTTGTAAGTAAGTATCAGAAAATTATTTTCAAGAACAAATGAATAATCATGTCCTAAATATTGTATCTGTTTTCTCCTTTTGTTTGACCCTAGTGCTGGTAAAGTATCCAAAAAATAAAAAGATGATGAATTTGTGTTTCTTGCCAATGTTCTAAATAATGAAATAAGGAAAATAAGATAATTTAATTTTTTGCATCAGTATTTTTTTTCTGAATTTTAATAACTAAAATCATTGAGGTCTTTTCTTCTAATACATTTTTTATTTTTGACATATCTGTTCTGCTTTTTTCTCACCCCATCCCCAATTTTAGAAACATTTTATAGATTTTTAAATTCAACTTTTAATACCAGCTACTTTGAGAACTTAAAACTTCTTGTAACAACATTTAAATAAAATAGAAATCAAAGAAAAGTACTTTCTGAAAATATGCTATTTGAGGTACACTCCAAGAAAACTTTTCTGTTTAAAATTGGAAACATCGTTGAACCTGTCTCTTTTATGTTTGAATTGACCATTTTCAAACTTTGTGCCAGCTGAAGTCATCTTATGGAAGTTGTTAATCTACAGTGATACTAGAAATGTGTTTTCTCCTGAAATTCTGGAACATTACACATAGCAACAAAGTTGTTTTTCAGTCTTCCAAAAACTCCTTATAAGACTAGAAAGCAACTTGTTTTGAAAAATCAAAAACTCACTGACAATATCTACAGCAAAACCAGGTGACAGAGTATCTCCATGAATCCTAACACATGAATCAGTGAGGACCAGTTGATGACAACAGGAAGAGCCATGTGGAATTTTCGCCTCTACACAAGGAAGCAAGGGAAGCAAGAAGACAAATGAGAGACCCCGAGTATGCAAACACTCAAGTCTCCCAAATTTTCAATTTATTTAAAAGAAGGGTAGGCCAATACAAAAAGAGAAGCTGAAATTGGGAGAGATTTTTTGCCACCCAAATTTCTGAAAAGTAAAAGGGGTGCACCTTCAGTAAGGTGTGAAAAGTGAATGCATTGTCAAGGCCTTGTGAACTCTGGAAATGAAAATCTAAAGCCCCTTGGGGAAAAAGGTTCTATACATAGGTGAAACTGCTGGGAAGGGAATCCAAATTAATCAGTGTGGAGATGGTACAGGTAAGTGAATGAAGTTCCAGGGGAGGGGAAGAGATCTCAGAAAGTGTGAGGGCATATTTTTGAATGTTTAATGAACATAACCAGAAAGTTAAGAGCCATGAAACTGGAAAAGATATCCTGACCTATTACTCTGTCAAAAGGTTAAGTAAACCCATTTGGCTTAAAAATGGACAGCAACAGAAAGGATGTCAGTTAATTCCAATAGAGAATGATTATGGGACATGGATGGAGCTGGAGGTCAATAGAGGAGAGACAATAAGGAGCAGAATAAAGTTCCTTTAAGCAGGTAAAGCATATCAGGAAGAAACACCCACAAAAAACATGTAAATAAGACAATGTTACAAAATAAGCTAAAAATAAGAAAACTATAGAACAACGATATAAATCAAAGGTAGAAAAATCCTTACATATGTATAATTGCACACCCCAAAGAAGAAAACCATGGAAGAAAATTAATAGAGAACATTCTACTTCAAGAAAATATTCCTGAAATTTAAAAAGAATGATAAAAACACTCTAAATTGAAAGATTATGCCGCAAATCTGAATAACTCAACCTAGAACAACCACGTTTCTCATGAAACATGTCTTAAAAGTCTTTAAATTAAAATAAAATTTTTTTGCCCACATTCATGCAAAAAGACCAAGTCAATTATTTAGACAAAAATCAGACTGCTGTCAGATTTTCTGAAAATCACATCTTGTATCATAAGAAAATTGTCACCTACTTAAGATAATAAGACTTTCTTTCCTCACTTGTATTACTTTGAAATAAGATTCTTTTACTTGTTGCTAATTATACAGCAATCAAGAAGTTTATCTTTTTTCAAGCTGTCCTTATTTCTTCTCAATTTTTGATGGCTATATATTGTATTTGTATTGTAAGTTCATACTAGCTGGATTGATAGTATATTAGTTCATTCTCACACGCTGTAAAGAACTACCTGAGACTGGGTGATTTATAAAGAAAAGATGTTTAATTGACTCTCAGTTCTGCATGACTGGAAAGGTCTCAGAAAACTTACTATTATGGCAGAAGGTGAAAGGGAAGCAAGACAGATCTTCCCATGGCAGAGCAGGAGAGAGCACAAAAAGGGAAGTCCCACATACTTTTAAACCATGAGATCTCATGAGAACTCACAGTCATGAAAATGGCAAGGGAGAAATTCATCCCCATGATCCAGTCACTTCCCACTAGGCCCCTCCTCCAATTTGACATAAGATTTGGGTGAGGACACAAATCCAAAAAACCCAAATCATATCTGCTAGTTAATGTCAATGTTGCCAAGAGTACAGAACAAACCAAAAAAGAAGAAACTAATGTTCAAGACATTAGAACAAAAATACAAACATTCCTAAATGCAAAAGAAAATTAAAATTAAAGAGGAAAATAAAATGGACTACATAGTAAAACATATATAAAACATTTTATACATATTAATATGATGTTATTGTCTAAGAAATAGGGGAATATAAACATATGTACATATATATCTCTTTCTATTTTTTAATTGAAGGATGAAATGTAAAATTAGCAAAATACTACTATCTGCCACTAAGAAGAAATTGTACTTCTAGGAGGCAATGACTTATTCCAGGTCTAAGACGACAGATGTACAAAATAAGCCTAAAGTATGTTATTGTACTGGTTAGAAAAAGAACTACCAAAGACTTAAAAAGCCAACTTGCATAGCCTACTACTGACCCAGGAATGGCTAGAGCAGATTGAAACATATCAAATACGGTTAAATTCATACTTTCAAAATGATACCAAAACAATGAACAAAAATGCTAATTGATCATGGAAAATGTTGGTGAATAAACTCATTATTTTGAAAAGTGGTAAGTTACAAAACTAATAATTTATTTCTTCTTTCCTAAAAGAATTGTATTATTGGAAAATTTTTAGCTAAGAAAGAAGAAGCAATGAGAGATTTTACCAACTTGAAACTGCTAATATGACTTGATGAATCTAGGCATTGATATTTACCATTAACAACATGAAATGGAGCATAATTGAACATGTGTCTTCTGTCAAAATACACAATATTGCCTATAAAGTGTATTCACTAAAAATTCAACCTTCATCTAATCAAGATTCTAACACTATCCATTAATAAAAAATAGAGAGGGCAGGGAAATAGCTCCAAAGACATCAAGGCTATAGATTGAAATGTAATCCTCTAGAATCAAATGTGATTCTATCCCTTTGATGTCTTTGGAGCTATTTCTCTGCCCTATTTTTTTTTAATTAATAGGTAGTACCGGGGTCTTTGATTAGATTCAGATTGAACAAAGAAAATGTACATATACACCATGGAATACTATCCAGCCATATAAAAGGAATGAGATCATGTCCTTTACAAGACATGGATGGAACTAGAGGCCATTTTTCTTACCAAACTAATGCAGGAACAGAAAACCAAATACCACATGTTCTCACTTATAAGTAAGTGGGAGCTAAGTGATGAGCATACATGGATACATAGAGAGGAACAACACACACTGAAGCCAATAGGAGGGTGGAGAGTGGGAGGAAGGAGAGAGATCATCAGGAAAAATAACTTAGGGGTACTAGGCTTAATACCTGAGTATCTGTACAACAAAGCCCAATGACACAAGTTTACCTATGCAGCAAACTTGCTCATGTACCCCTAAACTTAAAAGGTTTTACAAAAAAAGAATCACACTGTCAAATAGGGAAACTCTCAAGAACAAGTGACCATCTTTCAGAAAAGAAACAATGCAAAAATGAAACAGCGATGGAGAAGGGAAAGATGAAGGAAGAGAAAGAAGGTTGAGGGAGAAGAGAGAGAGAGAAAAAAAACTACAGGTTAAAAGAGAATAAGAGATATCCCAGCCAGTCAAGTTTCCTGTACTTTATTTGGATACTGATTCAAACAAACAAAATTTAACATGTTTCAGACAATTGGAAATTTGAAACACTGTGTATTTGATAATAAGGAATTATTATTATAGGTATGATATTGGTATTATGACTATGATTTTTAGAAGGTCCCTTATCTTTTAGAGATACCTCCTTAAATATTTAGAAATGAAATTATATAATGTCTGATGCTTGCTTTCACATAATGAAGAAGGAGAAGAAGCAATTAAGCAGATAAAACTTCATGAATTTTTAGTTAAAGCTACGTGACGATTACATGGGAGTGTTTCCTTGTATAATATTTACTGGTGTATGTTTAGAATGATTTGCAATACAAAGTTTAAAGCAAAGTGTTTTATCCTCAAATATGATGGATAGTTCAAGCCAAGGAAAAATAAAATCATCCCCATTTCCGAGGTAAACTCAAAAGATTTTTAGAGTGTCAGGTTGTAGAAATCTTTCCCATGGTAGTAGGGTAGCTTGTTTCAGTTGTTTACATGGACCATCTTTAACATTAATTTACTTCTTTTAATACCCACTCTTCTGAATGAATGTGCTTGAGAAGCATTTCCTTTCTTTTTTTTCCAGGATTGTGGAAAAGGGGTATTACAGTGAGCGAGATGCTGCAGATGCTGTTAAACAAATCCTGGAGGCAGTCGCTGTAAGTACGAAGTAACAGCAATGGTACAACTCTTAGTCATTTCTTCCTTTTACAGAATCATTATTTCAGAAATGCGTATCTGTGATAAGCCATACATTTTACAGCACAAAGGTGTGAAATATTTATTAGAAAATATGTGGAGTAAGCTGTGCATGGTGGCTCAACCCTGTAATCTCAGCACTTTGGGAGGCTGAGGCAGGCAGATTACTTGAAGTCAGGAGTTTAAGACCAGCCTTGCCAATGTGGTGAAATGCCATCTCTAATGAAAATTTAAAAATTAGCTGGATGTGTAGCACACACCTGTAATTCCAGCTACTTCGGAGGCTGGGGCACAAGAATTGCTTGAACTTAGGAGGCGGAGGTTGCAGTGAGCTAAGATCATGCCACTGCACTCCAGCCTTGGCAACGGAGAGAGACTGCCTGTCAAAAAAAATGTATGGAATAAACTGATATTTTCTATTGATTCCTCAAAGTCTGAAAGATGCAGTCCTCTATATAATGCCACAAGTGTGTTAAATTAATTTCCATTCTATTATTATGAGACAAAATGAAATTTTGGTGCCTTTTGTTGTTCTTCAACTCTTTATTCCTCAATTCTTGAGTTTATTTCTTCATTACTTTTGTTGTGTTTTAATTTGGTAGAGATGTGGAGGAAGGTTGAATGTGATATAGACCTTGGAGCATAGAGATTATTGACTTTTCTTTCAAGACAAGAAATGAGTGAATTAGAAATAAAAAATGTAGCAGCTTTTTTCAAGAAATAAATATGTTAATAATTTAATTTGGAATACAAGTTTTGTAAGTTAGTGGTGGAATTAAATGCATACACGTTTACAAAAACATATACTATCGAGAAGCTCTTTTGGATTATATTAAGCAGGTAATATTTGCTTGTATAAAACAGACTCAATTGGCTAAAAGCTTCCCATATATTTAATGGTGTCTAATATGGGCTGGAACACTTTGGTGATTCATTTATCGAATATAAAACCAGAACAAATTATTCTTTGAACTCAAGACAGGGCCCAAGTAGGGGTGATATTTATCAGGATCCGTTAAAGAGACAAATCTATAAAATTTATCCAGAATTGAGGTATACTCCATTATTTGGAGTTCGTTATTTAAGTAAAATCATTATTTAATACCTTGAGAAATCAGCCACAGTGACAGAAGCACAGGTCCTATGAGTTTTACCCACAGCAAAAGCAGGAAGCAGGGAAGGAAAGAGGAAAGGAGGGAGAAAGGAGGAGAGGAGGGAGGGAGGGAGGACTCTGATATCTAACTAGCTTACATACCCATGATGAAAAGGTTTTTCATCATTGAAAACCTTTGCATAAGGCTTCTAGAAATAGCCGATCAAACCAAATCCGTTATTAAGCTATCAACACCAACTTTAATTGGCTTTATAGCCCAGTCCTTCCAAATTATTTCTTCCCATAAAAGGGGTTTGATCTTTTTGCTACAGTGAGGGATGAAAAGTTTGAAATGGGAGTGAATGAAACCTGGAGAGGATGCCAAAACAGCTCCTGATTATATGAACATTGAATATCAAATTCATCTTCTCACTGTATCCAAATAGCCACCCCATTTCAGACTTTTATCACACACAACACATTTACCAATTCTGGTTGCCTAGGTTTGCACACTAGGGAATGGGTTTCAACTCTTCCATTTCCTTCTCTTACATAGACCTTTCCAACTTCAGTTGAAGCTTTATTCAAATGTGCGTAAACTTAACCCTGTTCATCATTCTATGACTATTGGTGGCATGCTTGAAAAAAAAAAAAGCACTTCTATTTGCTTATAATTCCTATTCTTTTTTGTTTGTTTGTTTTAATGGAGTCTTGCTCTGTCACCCAGGCTGGAGTGCAGTGGCTTGATCTCAGCTCACTGCAACCTCCACCTCCTGGATTGAAGCAATTCTCCTTGCCTCAGCCTCTCAAGTAGCTGGGACTACAGGCATGCACTACCATGCCCAGCTAATTTTTGTATAAAGTAGAGATTGAGTTTCACCATGTCAGCCAGGCAGGTCTCAAACTCCAGACCTCTGGAAATCTGCTTGCCTCAAGCTCCCACGGTGTTGGGAAAGCAGGTGTGAGCCATCGCACCCAGTCGCAATTCCTGTTCTTAAATATGTAAGTCTACAATCATCTCTTGTAATCACTATTTTTATTTTGTTACTTCTCCATTTAATAATGGCAGTTTTTATAGTAGAATGATTTATAATCCTTTGGGGATATACACAGTAATGGAATTGCTGGGTCAAATGATATTTCTGATTCTAGATCCTTGAGGAATTGCCACACTGTCTTCCACAATTGTTGAACCAATTTACACTCCCACCAATAGTATAAAAGCATTCCTATTTCTCCACATCCTCTCCAGCATCTCTTGTTTCTCGACTTAATGATTGGCATTCTAACTGGCATGAGATGGTATCTCATTGTGGTTTTGATTTGCATTTCTCTAATGACCAGTGATGATGAGCTTTTTTTCATATGTTTGTTGGCCATATAAATGTTTTCTTTTGAGTAGTGTCTGTTCATATCCTTCACCCACTTTTTGATGTTTTTTTTCTTGTAAATTTGTAGATTCTGGATATTAGCCCTTTGTCAGATGGATAGATTGTAAAAATTTTTCTCATATTCTGTACTATAGAGACACATGCACATGTATCTTTATTGCAGCACTGTTAACAATAGCAGACTTGAGGCTAACCTAAATGCCCATCAGTGATAGACTGGATAAAGAAAATGTGGCACGTATATACTATGGGATGCAGCTATGAACAAGGATGAGTTCATGTCCTTTCCAGGGACATGGATGAAGCTAGAAACTGTCATTCTCAGCAAACTAACACAGGAACAGAAAACCAAACACTACATGTTCTCACTTGTAAGTGAGAGGTGAACAATGAGAACACATGGTCACAGGGAGGGCAACATCACACACAGGGACCTGTCACAGTCTGGGAGGATAGGGGAGGGGTAGCATTAGGAAAAATATCTAATGTAGATGACAGGTTGATGGGTGCAGCAAACCCCCATGGCACGTGTATACCTATGTAACAAACCTGCACATTCTGCATGTGTATCCCAGAACTTAAAGTATAATAAATAAATTAATAAAATAATAATAATGGTGGCAGGTTTATACTTTTCTTAACTATCTATTTTAAAACCTCATTTCTTCTTATTATTCATAATAAATTATTCAAGTCAACTTGCTGGCCATAGCCCACTATCACTTTACCTGAATCAGTCAGGCAGCTGGTATAGCGGTTAAGAATACTTTGGCAATGAGACAGAGCTAGGTTCAGTTTTTAGCTGTGTGAACTTGGACATGTCACTAAATATCTTTGAGGCCTCCGTTTTCTTTTGTAAAATAGGCGTAGCGATTAACCTGACGGGATGGTGGAAAAGAGTAAATGAGTTAACTTATGGAAATCATAGCAATGTTCATGAAAGAGCTAAAAGAGTATAAGCCACTTCATACTCAGTACATTTGTTTAAAGATTTATTAGATGTTATAGATGTATGCAGATATACCTGCACCCCAGCTAAGTACTTAAAAAAAATGTGTAATATACTCATTGATCTATGTGCTGATTGCACGGGAGAAAAGTTCAGTAAACTTGCATGTACTTTTCTATTTATATGTTATACCAATAGAAAGTTTGAAAAGGAATTGTGCTGAAATTTTAGTACGTGTATATAGTTACAACAGGTAATAAATCCTCAAGTCAGCGTGGTATGTGTGTGTTTGCAATTTACCCAACTGGATTCATGTACTTTTTCATGTTTCTAGTTCTATCACATACTTTGGTCTAACAGACAGATTTCTTTTTTTCTTTCTGGGACAGTAGCACATTATTCTCTGATGGCACGTGAGACAGTAGGTAGAGAATGTGACAATGAGGGAGAGGGACATGTGCCCCTCAGTATACCACTCTCCTCTTTTTATGCTATTCTACTGACAAAACATTTGAAAATGAAGTAATCTTCAAAATAATTGTTCTGAGTGATCTTCGTTTGCTTCTCTATGTGCAAGCGACAGAATGCATACAATCAGGAAGGGTGTATTGTAAGGCTGCAGAGGTGTGTGAAGCCAGCCAGCACCCTGGACAGTGGTCAGAACTTTCCTTCCCCACTGCTGCTTTTTTCTCATCACCTGCTTCTCTCTGTTCTCTTCCAACTAATATTCTCTACTGCTTAGATTCACAAAGTGACATATGGTCAACCTAACCATCCTGAATTAGCATATTAAAGTAAAAACTCAAATCTGACTCAAAATGAACACAAATATCACTTCGTCTTAATTCAGAATTTTAGAACAGAAGCTACACACGTATAGCTTGAGTCAGACTTCCTTCCCTAGTCCATTCAGCTGTGGATGGGGTGTGAATTGTGCAGTATAAACGTGGCTGCTCAGGCCTGGGGATAAGGGAGGTTATTCTAAGGGAAAGGCAATTGTTTCCTTTGAACTAGGCTGCCACACCAAAATACATACCTTTTTCTATTATCTGTTCTTGTGCTTTTTTTTTTTTTGCTTTTACTATTTATTTATGTGTCTCTTCATTCCTGAATTTTCATTGCATCCTAGATGCAGTTTTGAATGTCAGTCTGCTGTTTGTCACAAAACTATAATTTCACTTGAAATGTGATTTCATTTTGGCGGAAGCCCTACTTGTTTATCATGTAGGAATTAACTTTTCTATGACCAAATTTAGTCACTCCTCACATTCCCACATTTCCGTCTTTGTAATTCAAGCTGTCTGTTTTCAGTAGGTGTATATTCCTGGTTCTCTCATTCACTGATAACAGCAAAAACACTTTTATAAGGCTCTCTCCATCTTCTTCATCTTGATAAATGGCACTACCATTCAGCCATTGCTTGCTAAAACCTAGAATTCACCTCACATCCAAATAATCCCAAATAATAATCAACAGCTCCAGTCAGTATATCTCCAAATCATAACCCAAATTTGGCAATTTTTCTTC